ACTTAACGTCACTTGTACCACGTTAATTATATTAAATGCATAAGCAAATTTATTATATTATCTACAACATCCAACTTAATTTTATTATACGAGGTGTGGCAATTAAATAACGAGAATTTGTTTCTAGCTTCTATAGTGGTAACACTGATACCTTGAAAATTTGTTGACTTAAAGTTCACGAGGTAATACACAAGTTTGCCAAGTTTGATAGTGATCGGTGTTATATTTTGTGCTCCCCGATTTTTTAAAGTTAGTAGTGTAGTGTCGTGACGTACAAAAATGTGTGACGTGAAAAACGAGCAACGAATCGTCATCAAGTTTCTGGTGAAATCTGGTGAAAAAACGGCCGAAATTTTTCGTAAATTGCAGCGTGTGTTCGGTAATGACTGCTTATCAAAACCACGTGTGTATGAATGGGCATCACGTTTCGCATCAGGTCGAGAATCGACGCAAGATGATGCAAGGTCGGGTGCCCCTAAAATTGTGCACACTAGGCAAAATGTTGAACGTTTGAGTGTGTTGGTGCGAACTGATCGACGCCTCACAGTCCGAATGATATCCAGTGAACTCGGGATCAATAAAGAAACCATTCGCCAGATGTTACATGGTGATTTACTGATGCGCAAGCTCTGTGCAAAGCTTGTTCCGAAAATGCTGACGGTGGAGTAAAAAGAGTTGCGACGGTCGATTTGTGAGGACTTTCTTGAACGAATTCAGAGTGAAGGGCGTGACTGGATGAGTTCAATTATTACGGCAGATGAAAGCTGGGTATATCAATATGACCCTGAAACACGTAGGCAGAGCAAACAGTGGATTGAAGAGGGGGGAGAGCGCCCAACGAAAGCCAGGATGTCTCGAAGCCAAATCAAAACCATGCTGATCTGTTTCTTCGATGTTAGGGGTATTGTGCACAAAGAATTTGTTCCACAAGGTCAAACAGTGACAGGAGTATTTTATATTGAAGTTCTTAAGCGATTGTGTCATAGAATGTCTCGTGTAAGGCCGTACGTTATGTGAAAGTTTTAGATAACGGTCATTTCACCGGGCACTAATTTCATGTATCAAACCATCCAACGTAACCTTACGAAGGATTGGCACGTNATTTAAATTTAATATTCCACATTCATTTTTCCAAGGCACTGCATGTAACTCATCTTTCATAAAACAACCTCTAAAATTTTTTATATTTTTTGCTGCTTCAATAATATCATAATTAGTTAATGGTTTTATTTTTGTTTTTTTTAGTCCTGAACCAATTGTAAAGTCTTAATATTTTTAACATTCTCTYCCATTGCTTTATTATGTCTTTCTGCTTCATCTCGTTTTAATTTCTTATCTTTTGTATTGATAACGGTATTTGCAATAGCACTAGCACCTCCGGCTAATGCACTAACTAAGGGCTCCTATACCTGCTATAATAAGAGGTAAAAACACAACTACTTTATCCATATTTCCAAATTAAGATTTTGTAATTTTTAATCACACTTTTTTTATTATTTTTAGCATAAATTAGTTTATTTTTTTATCTATCAGTTAAATTAAATATTTTCCTTTTTGGCTACATTTTCAGGTAAACTATGCCAAATACGTCATTTTCAAATATTTTTCTCCTTTAATTGATTTAACAAGCCCAGTTTTTTTATCATTATTTTGATACATTGAATCAGTCTGAATTAATATATCTTTATACAGTAGAATCTCTCTAATCCGTCACCTTCAGGACTGTGGGTATGATCGGAACGTGAAAAAGATCGGATTATCAGAATATACAGAACATTTTTATTTACATATTACATACAAGATTATATTAGAAATGTATTGTATTTTACAATACTTAGAAAAAAAGCCAGTTATAGATTTTTGTTTAGCAAATGATATTCTAGACTTAGCTAAGTCTAATAAGGGAAATATTAAACTAGCAATTAATTTTATATACGAGGTGTGGCAATTAAATAACGAGAATTTGTTTCTAGCTTCTATAGTGGTAACACTGATACCTTGAAAATTTGTTGACTTAAAGTTCACGAGGTAATACACAAGTTTGCCAAGTTTGATAGTGATCGGTGTTATATTTTGTGCTCCCCGATTTTTTAAAGTTAGTAGTGTAGTGTCGTGACGTACAAAAATGTGTGACGTGAAAAACGAGCAACGAATCGTCATCAAGTTTCTGGTGAAATCTGGTGAAAAAACGGCCGAAATTTTTCGTAAATTGCAGCGTGTGTTCGGTAATGACTGCTTATCAAAACCACGTGTGTATGAATGGGCATCACGTTTCGCATCAGGTCGAGAATCGACGCAAGATGATGCAAGGTCGGGTGCCCCTAAAATTGTGCACACTAGGCAAAATGTTGAACGTTTGAGTGTGTTGGTGCGAACTGATCGACGCCTCACAGTCCGAATGATRTCCAGTGAACTCGGGATCAATAAAGAAACCATTCGCCAGATGTTACATGGTGATTTACTGATGCGCAAGCTCTGTGTAAAGCTTGTTCCGAAAATGCTGACGGTGGAGCAAAAAGAGTTGCGACGGTCGATTTGTGAGGACTTTCTTGAACGAATTCAGAGTGAAGGGCGTGACTGGATGAGTTCAATTATTACGGCAGATGAAAGCTGGGTATATCAATATGACCCTGAAACACGTAGGCAGAGCAAACAGTGGATTGAAGAGGGGGGAGAGCGCCCAACGAAAGCCAGGATGTCTCGAAGCCAAATCAAAACCATGCTGATCTGTTTCTTCRATGTTAGGGGTATTGTGCACAAAGAATTTGTTCCACAAGGTCAAACAGTGACAGGAGTATTTTATATTGAAGTTCTTAAGCGATTGTGTCATAGAATGTCTCGTGTAAGGCCGGAATTAGCCAAAAATGGTTGGATCCTTCACCATGACAATGCGCCTGCACACTCCTCATTAAAAGTCCAACAGTTTTTGACCAGTAGGAACATAACAACGCTCCCCCACCCCCCGTACAGCCCCGATCTGGCTCCACTGGACTTCTGGCTATTTCCAAAGTTAAAGGAACCAATGAAAGGACATCGCTATGAGGATTTGGAGGACATTC